CCTATCCTCCTATCTCCACCTTAGGGATGTTTTCCATAGTCCCAGATGTATTGGATTCCCTCAGTATCTGCAGCGGATTGGTTTTGAGACCCTCCAACTCCAACACACACACACACACACACACACACACACACACACAGATGCTCAAGTCCCTTACATAGTGTATTAAAGTACAGTCAACCCTCTGTATTCATGGGCTCTACATCTGCAGATACAATCAAGCAATCAAGCAGATGTATTTTTGATCAGGTAGTTGGAACTGCAGATACAGAACCTGTAGATATGTAGGGCCTACTATCTACTGTTTGTGGCTGGTTTTGGTGACAATTTACTCTATCCTCTCTACAGAAATTCTTCAGTCTAACCATGAAGGGGACTAGGTCTCTTTAATTCTCTTTCATGCCTTTTCCCACAATCACTTGAGTCTCTCCAAGGAAAGGCTGATCCTCCCACTGTAGAAACTCAACTTCTGCAATCCTTCCTACTCTGTTACCCTCTCCCCCTCCCTCAACAGTGTTTATCCTCAAAGAAAAGCTGCAGCTATATGCTAATTTGCAAAAGAGCACGACCCTAGCTAACACCCATTTTATTAGAGGATATACCAGAACACACAGCATCCTAATCCAAATAGGTGGATGGGTGGATATCTGAAAGTGGAGATAGCAAAACTGAAGCCCAACAAAGCCAAAAAAAAAAAAAAAACCCAAACAAACAAAAAACAAAACAAAACAAAATAAATCTCCATGATGTCCAATTCCCTCTTCTTGAATAAAAAGATCAAGTCATATCCTGGATCTGTCGTTTGCACTTGGGCAAGATGCCAAACTTGTCTGTCCCCCCCAGCGTTCCTGGCATTCCCTGTGTGCTTCCCACACATTCACTCCAGGCAGTCTTTCCAAATCCCACCCACTGCACCACAGAGTGGTGTATCCGCCCCCTCCTTTGCTGCATGAGCTCACCCTGCAAGAGGGTGGTAGTTGGGGAGGGATGAATGAAGGTTGACAAAACTCCTGAGTGGGAAAGGGCTGAAGGAGGGCAGAGAATGGCCTTAAGAAGCCTCCTGCCCCATTTCGGGGTTGAGGGCTGGTAGGGGAAGCAGCATCCATCCATACAAACAGGGCCACAGGAGTTAGGGGAAGGGGAAATACACCAGTCTACACTAACCAAGAACCTCCATGCTTTTGAACAAGATCAAGAGCTTTCCTTAAGCCTATCTTCACCTCCTCCTAGCTGCCTCATTTGTAAAACCACTTAATAACTCCACAGGAGCCTGCCTTGAACCCATTACTTGTGCAGCTCCAGCCAGTGCAGAAGCAGCTGGCAGGGCACAGTGCTCTACCTGGTGGCCATCCTCCACTGGCCCGCCTAGAGGTGTGCTGTGTTGAGTATGTGTGTGTGGGGGGGAGATAGGGCATGTGCACAGGGCAGGGGTCTCCTGTGTGTGAGTACATGCACATGGTGGATCATATATTGTACCATCTGTGTGCTGTATCATATCAATACCATGTTCTGTATGTCCTGAGTCTGCATTATGTGTGCGCAGTGTCATGTTCATGTTCATATTATGCTGTGTCCAGGTATTCTGTCAGTACGCTACTATGTATGTATTATATGTCTGTGTTACATTGTACATATATTGCATCTCTCCTGTGATGTGTGTATACACTGTGTCTAATTTGCAGTATGTCACATATCTGTGTCATGTTACTTTTTTCTGTGTTGTGGATGTTATGTGCCCATACATGTTGTGTGTCTCTGCAGCCTTGCTATGCACCTGAACCTCAGCTTTCAGTTGGAAACTGGGTTAATGAGCAATGCACACCTTTTGTACACACTCTCCCTGACTCCCGCACTCTACCTTGCTGCATTCCAGCTTTCTTGCCAGAATCCCTGTCTTGGACTGGGGCTGTCACCTTGGGGTGGGGGTGGGATTGGGGGGAAGCTAAAGACAACTATTCTAACTGCCAAAGAGCCCTCCTATAGCAAGTGCCTTGTCTAGCACTAAAAATGCCTGGAAAAGTTCTGGAATCTTTTTCAGGCACAAAGAAGGGGCATACTGGGACAGGGGATGGCTCTGTCTCTAAACCCCCAGCCTCATCCATATGCAAGAAGAAGGACTTGCAGGAAGCAGCAGCTGCTTGAGTTTCTCCTTCAGGCTGGTTGGAAGGACTGGAGCTTTTTTCTGCAGGGAGTAACAGTTGCACAAATGCATTAGCACCCTAGGCAATGGGATCCAATGGGAATCTTTGTCAAAAGTGGCCCCATCAAGGTCACTAGAGGGCGCTATTGCGTTGATCCTAGTAAGATGCACAATTCTAAAAAGTACCTTGGGCTCAGAAGGAGATGGGTAGGAAAGTCACCAAGGAAAAGCGCATACACCAAAGCCAGGATCTTCCTTAATCTTGACCCCCAAGCTCTGTTATCATGAGACTGAGTTACAGAGTGAGAGTCACTACCTTCTGTCTGTCCCTCCTTTGGGGGTCTGTAAGACTCCTGTACAGAGCTTTTAAAGGGGCTTGGTTACAGAGTCCCGAGCAGATTCTCAATTTGGACTTTTCCCTCCTGTTTCCTATTCACATAAAATAAAAGTTGAGGCCAATAGGTGGCATGGTGGTTAAGACTCTGGACTCCCACATGTCCAAGCGCGGTTTGAGTCCTAGAGCTGGTGGCATGCTTTCTCACTTTCTTTCTCTCTCTGTCTCTATTGAGCATGTGCCCTATAACAAATTAAATTAAATTTTCAAAAAAGAAAAGTCAAGTCACATTGCTAAAAGAAATGAAATGTGTGTAGTAGTTGTGGGGTTGTTTTAGACTGTTTTTCCCTAAACTAGAGGGCATACAAAAGGGAATGTGACTTCAAAGGGATATTCAAGAAAGGGGTCAGTATTTTAGTGAACCTGTCTTCACAACCACGAATAAATAGATGAATGTCCTAAAATGTCACTTCCATCTTAGAGAACACCTAATCCAACTCATCATTTGAAAGACAAGGAAACTGACACTCAGAGAGAGGTAGACATACTCAGATCATTATGCCTAACTTCTGACTCCCAGACTTCATTCCACTCCAACTTCCTAAAAACCTTTATTCTCCAAATCTAGTCCCTTTCCACTCCATAGAAAAACGTTGCCTCCTCCTTCACTGGGCTACAAGGCCATGCTGTTTCATCTCAGCAATCAGGCCTCTCTGTGACCACACCTTTGGAATGACTTTTTCTTCACATCAGTAAACTGCTCATCTATATTCATCTATAATATTTCCAGTCTTCAAAGTTCAACTCCCCCATTTTGCTTCCCACCCCCTCCCCCAGCTGTAGTGGTACCACTTTGTCCCTCATTGCATCCCATGGGTGCAGTGCAGTTTGCCCCAACCTGCAGATAATTGACTGAACATCCAAATCAGACACGGATCTATTGCATTCATTAATATTTCAAATTAAACTCTGCTAAGCTGTTTTCAGAGACTCAGGTAATCACTGTGTATGTAAATATAAATGTCTTCCAAAGTCATGGAATGTATTAAGAAGCAACAGATTTTAGGGAAGAAATGGATCACCAGACCTGGAGGTTCATTTGGTTCTCCAGTACTCCTAAAACAAACTTAAAATGTATGACTGTGAGTTGGTCCATGGCTCAGGCTTCACACCTGAAATGGAGGAATGGTGTCCCTAGGAGCTGCTGCACACCCTTTCCTGCCCCCTGCTGGAGAAACTGTATAGTATGGAGTTGGCAAACCAGTCCTGGCCCAGCTTAGGGAAAAGACCAGTCTCCTGCATGTGGGAGAATGCTAGAGAGTGTGTGTGTGTGTGTGTGTGTGTGTGTGTGTGTGTGTGTGTGTGTGTTTGGGGGTTGGGGGGAGAAGGGCAGGAGGCAGAGAGCAGCCAAGGCTTAAGCTGCATCCCAGATGACTCAACAGTTACACTTACCTTAATAGTGTAGAGTTGTTTGCTTGCTTGAGCTGGGGACCCAGACTTGGCCCTAGCTCATCTAGGTATGTAAAACCAGCCAACCTACCTACCTAGATCACATTCACAGCTTCCCCGCTCCCCTTTGGCACCTTAACCCCCCAATTCCCTCTCCTTACCCAGGAGGAAAAAGTTGGCTGTTGAGGCTGCTGCTCCTGGACTTTCTCCTTGATCCCTTGGCCAAAGCTACTGGCTCCTGAAGGTGGGCTACATAGATGGAAATGCTGATGACTCCCTAAATATCTCAAAATATGCCCCCTAATTCTTAGCTGAGCCACAGCTGTCTCAACCATTGAACCTTTCCCAGAGAAATTAGTACTTTTGGGCTCCTGGTAAGTTGATGTGTTTCCTCTTTCTACTCTATAGCTTTGCTCTTACCTTCTCCATCTGATCCCCTTACTCCATCTGATTTTTTTTTTTTGCCTTGGCCACATTCTATGACCTCATAAGGTTAACCTCTGACCTCATAACAGCAAAGTCTGTCGTGGCAGCATCTCCCTGCCCCTGAAGTTGTTCTTCATTTCTCACCAATCATCTCTACTCCCCACCTCTCTTCCCCCTTGACCTGGACAGACATGTTTACTCTATATACCTTTTGCATCTCCAACCAGAAATAGCTGTAATCTGTGGGAATGATCAACCCGTCAGACATCCCTGGGTGTTGTACTCTTGACATGCACCCCTATGCACATGCACCTTTCTCAGGTCACTTCTACACAAGGCCCACTTGCCTGTCTGGAGGTTTGGAGGCTCTGCTTCTTGACAGCACAAGGTCTCTCCCGTCTCAGGATTCTTGGCTCTCAGCTTTTACCCACTAGTCTCTTCCTATTTCGCTTTCTGCATGAAGGGGATATGATATTTGTATCCAGAAACAGGGGTTTACATGGCTTTCTCTACAAGCTCCAGCCTACTAATCACTCATTACTATATATTAGGCCTCTTTGCCCAAAGGTACACCTGATTGGGAATCTCAAGTACCAAATCACAGATGCTGTCTAATTATTTTGCAAATGGCCCAATGAAAACCGCACTAACCTTTATACCTCGCTCATTCCAGAACAGGGTCACAGTGTTGTCACCAACAGGAATGGACCTCCTTCTGTTCCAACACATCAGACAGCCATATAGTTGGCCTGGATTTGAGTCTGCAAAACCATGGGGGAGCAAGACTAACATGGCTAAAGGCTCCCTGCTGAAAGCCATTTAAAAAAAAAAATAGCACAGCAACCGCCCCCATCACATTTCCCAAAGCCAAGCCACTCACCCTTCTCTCCTTGGCTTCTATAGACAACAGCCCAGAACCCTCAAACTCAGAATCTGGAACTGGATTCTGGAAAGTGGGACCAAAAAAACAAATAGGGCCTCTGGTTCCCTCCCGGTTTAAACCATCCTTCCCCCAATCTCTCACCCCAACCCTGAAACTATTTATATAGGGAAGGAAACCTGCAAAAGCAAGCATCTAAAATGCCCAGTTTGCCCAAAAGTGCGGCCAATAATCTTGCCAGAGCCACTTCACAAACTGAGGGCATGGAGCCCTGCAAACTGAGGGGCTCAGGGAAGAAAGGGGGGGCAGTGGACCCAATGACTCTGCTCCCCAGACAAAGACAAGGGTCAACCTAGGTATCCTAAGCATTCTAGGGACGTTGTTGCATTATTCCCATCCAATCCCCACGGAGAAGAAAGAGTCCTCCTGTCATTACCATTCCCCCACGACAAAAGGGGAGGAGAATAAAGAAAAATAAGAGAAAGGGAGGGAGGGCGCCCATTTATGAAAACCGTCACTTTTTCTATTGGTCCCTTAAGGCTCTTCTGTGATGGACTTGTCCAGACCGCGGCCACACCCCCTCCCCTTCTCTGGGGCCTGCTGTCACTAGTACTGTGGCTGTTTTGGGAGATGGGGGTGAGGGAAGGTGGTATAAGACTTACAAGCTGACGTAGCTTTCAGGGCAGATTTTGCCTCAAGTGGTCCAGGCCCCAGTAAAGCGAATCTAGGGTTGGACCAAGCGAAGGAGCAAAGGCCTTCCAGGAACGGCCTCGACACACCCACTTGTCGCGGATCGCGAACTAGGATCATGCAAACTGCACTTTAGGTCTCAGGGCATCAGGAGAGCCGCGTAGGAGATTCAAGGCTGTGGCGCCGCAGGGGCCTGAGAGGGGCTGGAAAGGTAGCACATCTGCCCAGCAGCCTCCAAGTGTGGCCTTCCTGCCGGGCGCCCTCCAAGCAACGCCCAGCCGCCCCCCCCCACCGGAGCTAGCCCGGTTGCTTTAAATCGCGGGATTTACCTGCTATGGATCCAGCCACCCTGTCAAGACCTTTCCTCTATCTCCGAGCGCTCCGGCAGGGCTGAGGAGCTGCAGCCCCGCCGCCGCAGGCGCCGCCCACGCGG